GTGCCCTGTCTTACCAGAAAATGTGGCTCTTCCAAGGTAATATGCATAGTTGATCACTGAGAAGGCACGTTTATAGCTCAAAGGACTACACTGAGACTGACGTTCATTTCAAGGTATAAAGGATACTTGTTACGGTTCTCAGTTCCAGCAATTTGAGTGTTTCTTAGGGAGTGGTTCTGGGGGTATGGAATTCGCACATCTAGAGGCGTTCGCTATGAAACAGAACTAAATGCCAAATCAGTCGGATCCCTGTCTGCTTGATAGTGACAGTTCTGCCGGGAATGCCTGAAAAACTGCCTCGACACAGACGTCTGGCAAGTAACATAACCGGCTTGCATAGTTCAGAATCAAAGCAATTAAATCATCTCTTAATGCAGACCTTGGCAGCTTGGAGATGGAGAATTTGGCACGAATTCCGCGATTCGACTCGGGCTGGCAGCATAGTAACTCTTCCCCATGGACTAATTTTAAAGGATACTCTAACAGCTCATCCAATTTCGACTGGCAAATTGAAATAGGATACTGTGGGATTATAAAAGGTGCTAAGAATCGTTAAAGTGCTTCTTACTAGTTCGAGGCACCTGTCGTAATGTGGACGGTCGGTTTGGCTACTCTGATGACGTTTTCGACGCTCATTGAGGTCTTCTCTGATTTGATATACATCCCCACCAGGGATCTACAAGCTCTCTCGATCTCGGCGAGAAACCTAACAGTCACCCGGAAGTCGAAGTAGGCAGGGCAGGACTGCCCCATCGAGAAACAACACACTGTGTAGAGCAATCAAGTGTATTTGACCGTTATTATTCGGGTGCTAAACCCTCATGCGGGCATCCTATGAGCAGAAAGCTCGTATTCAAGTGGACGCCGCTTCAATCTCCAAAAGCTTCTCATATTTGGTAGAGAACCCCACCTTAGTCCTTCAGGTGTGTCCTCGTACCGGGCCTAATGGTCAAAAGACCTACCTGAGCGCCAAACAGAAGGGCCAAGTTGGGGGAAAAAACCATATTACCACACACTAACCCCCAATTTGCCTGAGATGCGAAACAAAGTGTGCCCTTACTGATTTCAGATCACTTAAACAGGGATCCGGTCTGAAAACAGCGTCAGGAGGCCAACGGCCATGATAGCGGTCAGACAAACAAAGCGGGTCGTAGGTATCGACTCACATCGGAGCCGCAACAAGTTTTCTACTAATACGTTTTTAGTAGTGCGACTTAACCGAGAGAACTTCCCCCACGACCGGTGAAGGAGGGCAGGACTCAAGCGCTTCTTACCCCTGGGTCGTAATCCATAGGGCGTACGGGTAATGATCATGTCATATTCTGACTGCAATACCTAAACTGTCAGTCTTGCAACAGCAGTTTCTCAAAGGACAGGATCAGAATTATGTGGTCGGTCAGATCTTCAGGGCAAAAACGTCCTGGAAGGTCAGAGGGCAGTCCTGTTAGTGACAAGGAACACCATGGAGAGACTACCTGCTTTCTTCGTAGAGTACAATATAGTGACAGTTTACTATGAAAACTTCGGCCGCTGATTTCGACTATGCATACTGTGTGTCCCACATCAGGGTGGGTGCAAGGACTGCGACTTGCACTCGAATTACCTCATGTGAGAGTGGACTTGTGAAGCATCTGCCGCACTCTCCCCTCCTTCAGTGTCAAGGAGTCTAAAAGACCGGAGGCGAGATCAGACACAGCGGCTGAGAGGACCAAAAAACTCGCTAACGCGCACCAGACACGCCATTACACTTAACATCGCTTGTTCTGAATACGCAGCAAGCATGTGGGTTCATGAGGGAACCGATGTGGTCGACAGGACACGCCTAGTGGCCTATCGGCACCACTCCGCCAACCAATTGGTTCCGCGCATACGCCGGCTTCCCGACCTGCCTGGAACGCACCAAGGCAATCCAGCAAACACCACCTCCGTAGTTAATTGCGTAAGTGCGACTGTAAATGGCGACTCCCTTTATTGTAAGCTTGACGTAGTCAAGTCTAAGGGATACAGGTCGACCCTGTAGCCGTCGCCCTCCACGTCAACCGATCATGCGATAGACGACGGTCGCACTTGTGATCAACATTTTGGCGAGAGGTGAAATCCAACGACGACAGGTGTCTGACACACAAGTACACTCTAACCTACTGTGGTTTGCAATTGGTTTACCATACAAATAACGGGCGGGGCGTTTTCGGACCGGTGGGTGACTTCAACTCCAAATGACACGGAAGTCTAGACGCAGTCTCAAGAACACCCTTCACTCACGGGATACTCCAGTGCGTGAAAGGCCCTTCGAAGTCGAGGCCCAGATCAGCCAGCCCACTTTGAAGAGGTTTCTCACAGGCCTGATTCAAAGTCCCACCGACGGCTGATGCAGCCAAAATACCCCATCCGTCAACCAGGGAAAGCCACTCGTGGCCCAGGAACTTCAATAAAACTACGAAGGGGGAGGCTACGTCAGAGAAACTGAACAAGATCTATGAATGCGGATAGGGGAACATCGGTTGGCTGTTAGGAGGTTAAACCCGAGTCCGAAGGCGGCGACTCATGTTAGGCGGACAGGAAGCATATCCAACATTGAAGTCGTTGTGATTGCGGACAGCGGTTCCGACCACATGTCAGAGCAGGTGAAAGAAGCCTGGCTATCAACGAAACCTCATTGGGCACCGTTTGACCTTGCGAACATCCTTAAGGTGATGCAGTCAAGACGCGCAGCCGCCAGAGTGCACAGCAAAACAGTGCGGCCTTTCCACACCGTTCTACCGTTGCCACTAATTAAAGTGTGAAAAATTCCAAAGACTCATTTAAGCACACCACCGGTTAAAACTTCTGCATGATATAACACACTGCCAAAGCATGAAAGGTCAGCAGTGCATTATTCGGTCATTCGTCCAACTACTTTGAGTCTGACTTGCTAACGCCTAGGCACAGTCACCAGCCTTGCTGACAATGATTATACAATATCAGCGGGAAATTTAAAGAAGCTTGCGCCAAATCCCAGGAGGAATGTCATATTCCCGTATCCTACCTCATACTGTTCCAGATTTTTCGGTGATTGCACATGAAACAACCATACAGTGGCGTCTGCGAATAGTGGATTGGGGCGAGAGGGAGCCCGATGGCAAATAAAGACCGATGCGACTGGGACGGCAGCTGTTTCGGGTCCAAAGCTGTCCTCGTTAGTTAACTCTATCCGAAACGAAGAACTGCGGCTGAGCACATAAAAAACGCACAAACACGGCACAAATGGTCAAACCGACGAGTCAGTATTTACGTAAAATAACGATTCTGCCACTGCCTGCCAAATCCAGTAACTCCAAGTTCATTGTGAGGATCCGAGTATACACCAAAATTTAGCGAGAAGATAGGTTGAATAGGCGTAGCTTCATTAGAAAGCACATACATACAGAACGATGAAGATAAGGAAGAAAAGGGACCAAGCGCCTGACTGGCTGGCTACTCTCTCTCCTTCTTGTAACGCTTCTCTTTGCGTTTCTTCCGTCTACGTTCCTCTTCTGGATCTAGCCCAGAGTTAGCGTAATCGCCGCCGCCGCCGCCGCCACCGCCAGATGACGGCGTAGACAGTCTGCCAGCATCGAAGAAGTTGCTGCTGCCCCCACCACCGGTCATTATCGACTGCTCATCCGGCCGAAGCACCTTCTTTAGACTTGGTGGGCCCAGTGTGGCGGTCGGAAGGGTGGCCGGGTTATGGTGATGATGGGCGGCGAAAACGGGGGGAGGGTGCGGTGCCTGCGCGCTGGATGAAAGCGATGAAGAGGACGCCGGTTTGGAGGCAACTAGGTGTTGAACCGAGGTAAGCAGGGGTGGTGGAGGCGGGGGCGGAAGACAACTGCTCGGTTGCAGACTCGGCATAGGCTCGCTGCTGCGCATCAGCATCGAGGGTGGGGGTCCCGAGTGTGGAGCAGCAGCTCCAACGCCACCAAGCGAAACCGCTGCACCCAGGGACCGCGAGGGGCCACCAGCACCCCAATGTGGATGAGCCGAGACAACCGCGGCGGAGGACGGTTGAGCAGCCCCGCCAAAACTAGCTGGTGTGCCACCGCTCTGAGGGAGAGGTGCCCCACCACGATGAATTTCGCGCCGGCGTTTGCGCATATTGCCGCCAGGTGTACTAGAACCGCGACTTGTTGGCGCCTGGAGAGGTTGGGACGAAACAGAACCACCGGGATTAGGCTTCGTGGGGAAGGTGGCGTTTCCGATACTACTGCCAGTAGGACCGGCGCTGTCGCCAGGGGCGGTGCCGGTCGCCGATACAGTGCTGAGATTCGCGGGGGGAGCCATAAAGAGAGACATGTACTCCTGTGGGAGGGGACCAGGATGCAGTCGGAAGCCATGATCCAGTTGATTCGGGGCGAAGGGCATCAACTCCTTGCCAGTAATTGGTGGTCTTTCAACCAAGCCCTGGAATGTATGGTTAATCAAATCAAATGCTTTTTGGTGAGTGGGGCGAGAAAGGGGGAGACAGGAGGCATTAACTACCGATAAAACCCTACAGCTAAAGTTAGAAAATAAGCACATCGTTACGGATGCTCAAGTGGGAAGCTGCCAATTGCTAGCTAGTAAACTCGTTCACTCTGATATCTGCAAGTATTCTGGTCGGAATTGAAGTATCTTTTACTGACCCTTTATTGACACATGCCCTGTGGCAACGAAATCAGATTATCACTATCGAAATCAGTGGAAGTCAGACAACAAAATACACGTTAATACGTGGTCTTAGTGATCTATTCTTGAAAACACGGTCCGACCTGAGAGACTTCCAGGTTCAGCGAATATTCCCATGTTGCAATTGAAAAGTCAATTTAGCATACACGTGTTTTCGGTAACTCATCAGGCCAAAACAGCGACATAGAAGTTGAAATTATGCGAAGTTACAGGGCTTATACGTGATTTGGGGGCTATTAACACTCATCGTTCCCACGCCACTCATCCAGGTGTGAGCAGCACATGGTCCACCAGCGGGGTCCGCCTTAGTCAGGCAGGACCTAAACGAAGAACTGCTTATCACAAAGTACTTCAACTGTCGAAGATCTACAAGGCTACAGCGTTTAATGTGAGTCATTAGCAAACAGAATGTAGTCTGGAACTTGAAAACTCGACGGCAGAATCTTGGTGGTCGATTACGATAGAACTTTTCTTTGTCACGTCTCTGTATCCGTACATGTAACGGCTATTATCATGCCTGGTCCAGCTGGCCTCGATGCTGAGAAGTGCAACTTTCCATGCGCAACCATCTATGGAAATGGATTCGGAGAGCATGGCCCACTTTCAGCAGAGACGAATACCAGAGGTCCAAATAACCGTCTTATGCCTTGGTAGACTGAGCGGAAACAGGTTTTTAACTAGGTCTTTCAATACCTCCAGATGATCAGCAGCACGGGGTCGAGGGCAGCAACAATGGACAGCTACGAACGCACCCATGCCACACCAGTCATATATCTGGTGCGCTCTGAGATACCCATACCCTCGCGAAGTTGTCTAAGCAAGTGTTGACTGGCGCATTGGGGGCGAAATCGGGGTACTACATTGTATGGACGGTTGTTCGACAGCGGTAGTAAAACATTCCCAGTTTTTGACCGTTCAACACGCGCACAGCCTAACATTCCACAAGTGTTGAGGGGGACGGCTGAACCTATGCGCGGTACGGGTGAGCCTTTGTGGTGATTATGACATCGCCTTGGGTTGATAGACACTAAAAATTACGAAAATCCTCCAAGCAACACCGAAAAGGGAAGTGTCACCCTCAGCCTGATTATTTGACAGCAATTTCAAACGGAGGCACTCAAAAATGTACTTATTTTTGTCAGGAGCCCGACCCAAAGGCACGTTAACTTCCTCAGCGCTTATGAAGACGCAGCGATTTAGCGACCTCACTCACTGGCAACACCGCATATTATTTGTTAGCATAGCTTTGCGATAGCGGGATGATACTGTCAGCGTAGCCAATGTGCAGCCAGGTGTAAATTCGGGACCATCAAAACTACGCAGGCCTCACCCGAGAAGCTAGTTAATGACGTAGTTGGATAAAGTAATATTGTCAAACACAAAGTCAAATATTGAAGGACTGAGATAGATTGTTGTGGACTAAAGCTTTCGTGATGGTGGGAAGAAAGCGGGCCTTAATCATTACCTTTAAGTTTTGCCGGCATACCGTCCAACCTCACTATCTGCTGAAGACACGTGCGTGAAGTCGAAGGGTGCAACAATTACAACAGGGCAGAGAGCTGTGGTGGGATTAAAAAAAAGTGCACAGCGGTGCGAGCATCTGGTCGGTGCAACCAAGCCCAGCTCAAAACACGGCTTCATTGGGTGTCATCTTACAGTCACACACAGCGAAACTAGATGAAAATGGCAATAGCAAACATATTCGCGGCAACATCGACGAGATTTATGCCACTGCAGTAGACGCACTTTGTCTTATTTCGCTTGTTAAAGGCAGACACAAGGATGGCCGAATCCCGGTCATCACAAATGAATAAATATCTCCTCATTAACTTCAACACTACATGAGGCCAGGGCACCAGTGTTGACGAAAGATATGCAGACCTCGTTGGAGATGCCACCCTTGTTGCGCAGCCTCCGTACTGTCTCGACCACTTTTTCCTGAGAAACGAATCACATGACACTGCTAACGCTCGACCTTGGCTGAGTCAACTCAAGTTCAGAAGTTGCCGACAGAGGATCACTTACCCCTCTGGAAGCGAAACTTAGGGGTGGGGGACAAATGAAAAGAGATCGATGGGATAAAATTTCGTAGCACGCACCAAAAGGCCACTCCCATCTTCCGAGGCTGGCATGTTGACATTGCCGGAGAGATGCGGCAGAAAGGCCGACAGTTCATCGCGGAGCTTCCTCCCACAGAACTTTTGATAGGCACTTTCAAGGCCGTAGTGTTCAATTAGATTCTTTGCACCAGTCAGAGTGGCATCCGGCGCAGGTGGTTCTGCGCTCATGAGGTAAAATGGTGGCGCCACCGACCAGTTTTGTCCACTGCCCACAATCTTCAGCTTGTTTATCCATGAAGTTGCGGCACTAGTTTTCGATGGCGGCTGGTGATTGTTGGGAGAGTTTGGAGGAAAAGCCATCGATAAGGGCTGCATGGGCAGCGAGAGACAGAGAGAGGTGGGAAGGGCGCGACGGATCAGACTACAATGGACCGGCTAAAATAATAGGGGGGCAATAGCATCCGGGTTAATATCCAAGAGTTGGAAGATCGGCGGTGAGTTAGACTGTAAATCTGGCCATCGAACGCAAATATCCGTAGACTTTTTTTCAATGGCTGTAGGAAAGCACTCCCCGTGGTCAAATGGGGCATGCCCCAAGTTTAAACAGAAGAGACAGATCGAATTGACACTTATTTCTGGCCTGATTGCATAATGAAATGTGGGCGCTTCTCCGTAGTTTAAAGTTCCACTGAAAGACACTCAAATACGCTCGTGTAGTGACGAGCAGTAAACCTGTGAGGCTAGCCTATCGACTGGAATGACCACCATGATGGTGGTTGTCAGCCAGTCACCCAGCCCCAACTAAACAGAACCTGAGATTAAGTGCACGAAGAATAGCAGGGAAAACTAAGAGATCTGAGCAATATAAAATTAGTACCTACTGAAAAATATTGTTATTTACAAAAAATGAGCCGACCGAGCGGCGCAGCCAATGCACCAACTCCCAACAGCGTCAGCCAAAACACGGAACCCATTGGGTAGGTCACATGGATATCAGAACATGAGTTAGGACAGATCCGCGATCTCCGGCTTATACCCAAGCAATCAGACTAAGGAAGGGTGTGGAGAGATTCTTCAAGAAATCGCAACTGATATTTACCCAGACTACACATGTGTGCGAATCAGATTGGGGACGGAGTGGGGATTAGGATTGGGCAGTCAAGAGGTAGAAAGAGAAACTGAATTCCCGAATGGTTCCTAAAATGCAGAGAAACTAATAAGTGAGATTCAACCAAAGTAAGTAGGATAATGGCCTGCAGAATAATACTTGCCGCACGAGAAGCCGTAAAAATCAGTTTTCAATCACAACTTTTGACGCAAAGTAATAGAAATACAATGCACCAGCAAACCTGGGTGAATCACGATAAGGCGACACTTTCATCTGAATCCAGGATTAAGACGGCGCGACCGAGTGTTTTAATTAATGATCTATGTCCAGCCCCTCACGACCGGATTTATTTCCTAAACTCCCACTTACCAGTATCATTCTACCTAAATGTAAGCTTACCACGATCCTCCTCTGTAGCTACCAGCGATGCTATACATACCAAATATGGTCTCCTGGATATGTTGGCGTCATTTCTTGTCCAAAAAGACCATTTTACGTGGGAAAAAACTTGCCTTTTATGGTGTTCGCCATCCTTTGTTCTCGAGCTTCATTGCTATGTACAGTATAATGTTCCTTGTCATTTAATTCATCTACCGCTTTCGTCTTTACATGTGTGAGGACATCTTACCGGCTCCGATCAGCTTAGTTTGGCCTGGAAAATATTCAAAGTGCTCTACATAAACGAAAGCGCTCCCTCCTTACCACCTCAGACAGCAACATGCCACAAACACACAAACAATTCAAAAATTCCAACCCGAATAAAACAATGCGAATACACATTAATGTTTTCGGAATTATATTAAAATAAGCGGTTGTAGATTAAGGAAACACTAGACTACGCACAACTCCAAAAATAAGCGTGTTTCTGATAATAAACAGAAACTAGCTAGGAGCAGAATTCTGCTGGAGGTCTCAGTTTCATCTTGCCTGTCTTGACCTCCAACATCTCGGCCGTTCGTAGGAAACACCAAAGAACATAGACAAAAGGATACTGATCTTGGATCTCAGAAAAAGAGGCACGACGTCCAACTATCATCAGCGTGAGGTTTTAAGGAGAGTGCAAACGGTTTGGAATCCGGGCCCACAGCGAAGGGAGGACTTGCTCACGCACGGAACAGCAGGCCAATCAGACAGCAAAATACACGCCTGGAATTAGACATCCGACCAGCATGTACAACAGCATCGAGTACGGGCGGCTCACTCAATGACCGGTCGAACATTGACAATTTTTTGTATGGGGACTCTCGCGCACGCAAGGGTCACTACACGACCGGTATGCCATAGGCAGGAATGTTTCCGACCGCTCAGGTCCCCAAAAATAAGGCGTCCTTTGAGGAGTTGAAAAACCATGAGTTTTTCGTCTATCTATCGGGCTAAAACAAATTTCTGCGACGACATCCATCTTAGCATGAAAGAAGCCAAATTCGGTGAACGTGTCACTTAAATGCTTCCGTCATTGCTGACATTATGGCGCCATCGGGAAGTTTTTCCAGAGCACCGACAACTAGTTGTGAGAAGAAGCACCAACATAACCCAAGGTACAAAAACGTTTTCTAAGTTTCACAGAAGTTGACGCATGTTACTTCTTGTGGTCAGGGGGGGAAATCGTCGAACAGCAGTATTGTAGTGCCTCTACCTAGTGACAACCTAGGTTTGTATAAGATCAACACAGATCCGCCGGTATCCAGTTCAATCAAAATAAAACAGGCGTAGGCATCTCAGTACTATGGTTACAGCGTTAAATTTGGTACAGTGTACAAGGAAATTGTATACCAGAACAGTTAAGGGGGACCACAAAAATATAAGAGTTTGCGAATCACAAGTGATGTGTTCTATCCCCTTTGATTCCATATCACTTTGGAACCTGAATCTGTCAGAGTTCCTTTTAAAGTTTTCCATCGATGGTAACATCACAGCATTTGCAAGAAGGACATCCCATGCCTTGACCGCTTGGATGAGGACGGAGAACTCACGCACATTCATCCTGGTATGCCGGACGTGCGACCTTAATCGGCGATCCCGGATGCTGTTTGTGGTAACAAACCGAAAGGCTCTCAATGATCCGGCTGCAACCAACTTCCTTCACAATGCGTAAGGCTTGCGAATGACCTCTGCGCACTTACCTATAACCCAGAGGAGCGAGATTTGCATTTGTCAGGTTGATTGAATATGCAAGGAGAACTGACTTTTGACCATTTTGGCGGTCTTTTTTTAAACTCTTTCGATACTGTTCTACTCCTGGACTACCCACGTTCTCCGTAATGACATCGTGTACGTCAAATAGGCCCTTACAAGTGTTACGAAAATTTTGGGGAATATATCTTCAACAAAATCCCTAAAGGTATAAGTAGAAGCCTTAAACACCATAGACCACGACGTCATTTAGTAAATCATACTAGAATCTGGTTGTCCAGAGTACTTCATTCAGACGGTGCATCGGCTCCGCGATGGGATGATGACGCTCGTCACGGACAACGAGACGGTATCGGAATCATACGTCGCGACCAGTTAGGTGGGGCAGAGATGTGTATTTGGCCCGACGCTCTTCAGCCTCATGCTCACTGCTATGCTGATGGACGCTTACGCTAATGAGCGGGAAGAATCGACATCGCATACAGGTTCGACGGAAAACCGTTCACCGTCCACCAGATAGAAGCACTCTCAAAAATAGCCCAGGCTAGTATCCACGACCTACTGTTCCCTGATGACTATGAGGTTAAAAAACAACTGAAGAGCATATGCAGAGGGACATAGGCATTTTCGCTTACGGCTAAAAAAAACTTGAAACTATCCTTAAGGCGTGTAAGATAGTAGCCATAAATTATCCGGCGCACAATGCGGTCTACATTTATCTCCGTGTCAACGTCGTCACGAGTGCTCATAGGCAGGAAGGACAGAAACAACGCAAAATGTACGTTAGGAAAATTTCCCGCAAGTGTCTACACATCAACCTGACAACACAGGATAACCTCGTACAGAATTTATCGGCCTGGATACTAGCAGTGGCAAGGGAGAAGTAATTGACGAAGTCAACCGGACCGACGTTGCCAAAGCCAAATAAGCAGCTCGCATGTAGAAAATCTTGCGGATCAACGGTTCCAACAACTTAGACCTCCCAACACACCGACAAGGACAACGGGCTTCCCGCACATGACTCGAACTCGTCTGAGGTCTTTGGACCGAGTGTAACACTAAAGAGGCACATCTTTCTACCGTCTAGTTAACCACCTCTATATCGACCCCGCACCCTCAACCTCACCTGCAATGGCGACGGCCACTATCACAGGCGAGCAAATTACCGATGCTCCGTCGCCCATTAGCCTCTCCACAATCAATAGCACAACTCCCACGCCGATGCCGACGACGTCTACCATCCACATTTACTCTTAACACCTATGAGGACACTCCAGATACCTACCCCCCACCACAGTGTCTATCACCACCGCTCCCAGTATCAGTGATGAGGGATCGATCTTAGTGTGTCCCATTCAGCATCGCACATTCACATGATGCACTAGACTGGTCAGTCACTTGGTAATCCATCTCAATGAAATTTGTGAGCCAGCACCGGCATACCAACATAAACCTATCACACTCCTTCAGCTGTCCACACCGCCCAAAGACATTCACTCATTGCATGGCCTATCCGACCATATGTGTCTTCATGAAAATGTGCGGTGGACAGCATTTCAAGCCCCATCAGCACAATTGGCATCCTCTGCAGTCCACACATCCCTAAAGTATAAAAAATAGCCATCTCACCAAGCGCCTAAAAAATAAACTTATTAAACAAATGGAAAACATGCTCTATGCTATTCTCTGATGCACGGCTGCCTCACCAGGCCGTGGTAGTTTATGAAAAGGGACTTTCGTAGTTATGACAGTCAATACGTCCACTCCCATCTTCAGATGACAGACAGGCTCGCGCAGTTAAATGGTGCATGGGAGGGAGAAATAAACCAACTCTGGCGACTCCATCTCCATGGTACTTCAGCGCATACCTCATTATGGTGAATCGAACGCACTTGGAAGTATCACGACAGAATAAAAGTTGCGGTAACTTTGCCAAATGACGGTGTAGTTAGGGTCTTCCCAGGCTGCTGTGACTTCTATGGAACGCTAGATCAAATCTGACCCCAGGCGTCCTATTTCTTCTGTGAAAAATTGTAAATGTCCGTGAGATAATGTCATGCATGGCAACTGCAGACGGATTGTTAAGCCTTGTCACTCAATGCGTCTCCGGTCGCCCTGA